TTTTCTTGAAAATCAGGAAATTTTGAATTTTGAACCCAAATTTTCAAATTGTGAGCAATTTTTTGGGTGTTCTTTTATCAAAAAAGATTTTTTTTTTCAAATTTTCAGCCAAAAAAGCTCAAAGCTTCAAGATTTTAATGTGAAATTCGGTTGAATTTAAAGGAGGCCAGACACCAAAAAAAAGTTTTCCTGATATTTTGCATAGAGAACGCCCATGAGGGGTTGAACTCATGACAGGTAGCTCAGGGAACCATTGGGNGGTGAGATTCGTGCTCAAAAACCCACTAGGCCATCCGCGCAATTTTTTCTAAAAACTCCTTTTTTCGCAATTTTCATAGTTTTTTAAGGTTTTCAATCGTTTTAACACTAAAAAAAAGACCAAAATCAATTTTCTGACTAGTTTTAGCCTATTTTTATGTGAATCTACATACATTTTGGTACAAAATCAACTAAATTACCTGCGTATTAACTCCATAATACCTCCCCTCATCGCGAATCTCATCCACCCGGGGTCTCATCAAATCGAACCGCCCATCTGGGTAAATCGTTTTAATGCGAATCGTCTCCAGCTCATGCTCTCTCATATTGTGCAACTCGAATTCCAGCGGCATTCCGTGTGGTAAATGAGCAAAGAATTTCAGCGTCTCCTCCACGGCTGTGTCCTTGTTGGGGCTTGTGATTCGTGCATATTTCACATGGATCTTATCCACTTCTGGGAATTTTAAAGGGAGGGTTGGTATAGAATTATCCAAGAGCTTTACTACGGTAGACGGGGTGATAATCTTTCTTTTGTCGTCTATGACACCTCCAGCAGTCAATGGAATCTGTATGGGTGGCATGAACACCGCTTCACAAGCGCTAATAAAATTAAAAATCGCTGATTCCGGCACATCTTCATACTCCTCCAACGCCCGTCTCGCTTCCTTGCATATCGATTGGCCTGCAGCAACGACGTCAGCCTGTGGAGCCATGACCTGCATCATCCAAACCAGCAGATCCAGGAAAGACAAGTAGACTTTACAATAAACGAGATAGGCGTGAATTTGAACAGACACTCCTGAGAATCGATGCTCAATCGATTGCATATCCTCTATACTCTGTGTTATCAACTGCTTCACATTTGTCAGTTCCCCACCACAGAGTACTGTATTGGTGACTGAATCCAGGGTAGAGGACACTTCAGCGAGGCAGAAGATCAGACGGGCGGCACCGGAGACAGACGAATTGTAGTGGGAGATAGCAGCGGCGTCCCGGAAGATATCATCCCTTTGGCTATTTCTCTCGGCAATATTTAAATTTGATTTCGAGTTCTTCGAGACTTCACAAAGCCTCTGATAGGTTATCATCACAACTTCCTCTGCTTTATCATTAGTGGTATCATCTGCTTTCCGTACTCTTCCTATCTGCTTCTCCTCATCTATCACTCGAATCGCCCTCACTATATTCGGGTAGGAATTCCTCAAAAATCGATAATGCCTATGCACGAATTCTGGCATAAACATCACTAGACTGGGTTGACTTGCAGCTGCATTTAACACCATTATCAGCTTCCCAACGTACTCCTGATCGTCAATCGATGGTTCTCTTGTATGGAAAATCAGATGGATATCCAGAAGGGATCTCATAATGGCTTGCACTTGTACCGAATGGTTATTTCCGATATCCGCCATACATCCGTAGATTTGTTCCTTGTCTTTTGGGAAGCGCTTGAGGCACGCCAGCAGGGCTTTGACACACATTTCGACGCAATTGACGTCCACGAATTGGGCACGTTTTAGGAGTTCTCGCATCGCTTGGCGGGCTTCTGGCATCGCGTCCTGGAGAAAATAATGTTATTTTGGACGGAAGATTACTGTAGAAGGCGACAAAAAACGGTCGAGAACTACCCGAGACATACAGTTGTAGCTAGCTTTTCCGCAAAGAAAATGCTTGATTTTAACGATTTTAAGTTTTTACTGAGGCTTAGCAACTTTTGTAGTTTGTAGTCGACACAAAATTTGAGTCATTTCTGAACAAAAACGAGCGAAAACGGTTGAAAATTGATCGAGAAATACCAAGATTTCAATTTTACTGAGGCTTAGAATGCTTTGTAGTTTGTAGTGTATTAGCCTCAGTAAAAACAACTTCCCGAACGAAAATTTGAATTTTTTTTCGATTTTTTGCAAAATTTTTAGACCTTTTCAGGTTTTTCAGCTATTCTTGGCGATTCTTTTCGATTTATTTGAATTTTTTGACTGAAAATTTGGAATGGTGTTTAAGATTACTGTAAAAAACCTTCCGTTTTGTAGTTTGTAGTTTGTAGTTCTTTTTCGCGAAACTTTTTCTGCATTTAGACGTGATTTTGTTCGCAAAAAAGCTTAAAAACTACAAACTACAAAACTGAAGGTTTTCTACAGTAATCTACAGTAATCTTAAACACCGTTTCATCAATTTTCAGTCAAAAAATTCGGAAAAATCGAAAAAGAACCGTCAAAATTAGCTGGAAAACCAACAAAGGTTAAAAAATTTGGCAAAAAATCGAAGAAAAAATCAATTTTGTTTTTCGAAATGTTGTTTTTACTGAGGCTAGTACACTACAAACTACAAAACATTCCTAAGCCTCAGTAAAATTGAAATCTTGGTAGGTCTCGATTAATTTTCATCCGTTTTCGCTCGTTTTTGTTTAGAAATGACTCGAAATGTTGTGTCGACTACAAACTACAAAAGTTGCTAAGCCTCAGTAAAAACTTAAAATCGTTAAAATCAAGCATTTTCTTTGGAGAGAACCAAAAAAAAACTGTATCTCGGGGTAGTTTTCGACCATTTTCAGTCGTTTTCTACAGTAATCTACAGTAATCTTCTATCGGATTTCAGACCAAAATTTTGAAAAATAGCTAAAAAAAACTAAAAAGGTCGAAAAATTTTGCAATTTTCAGAGTTTCTAGTTTTGGCGGGAATTCGAAAAAAAGATTCTAGAAGCTTCCAGAAAACGAGAATTGCGACGTTTCACATCTTGAAGCGAAATATATAAATCTACATATTATTTTGCACATTTTGAGGCAAAAATTTCTGAAAACTCACATCCAAACACTTTGAAATCACATTCAACTGCTCGGAATTCAATTGTCCATGAGCCACCAGAGGGGTCAACGCGTTAATCGCATCCAACCGAACATCAGCAATCTCATCATTGAACATATCCGCGAGATATTCCAGAGCAGACACAGCGAAGGCAGGTCGATTACAAGCCAAACGACCCAGAGAGTAGACTGCGGCTTTGCGGACATCTGAAAAATTTTTAGATTGTAGCCTTCTTAATTCAATATTTCCATGAAAAATCCAAGTTTTTGAGCTCAATAAGACTGAAAATCGAGAAATGTTGAGCTAGAAATCTCGGAATACGGAGAAAACGGGCAATTTTGAACTAAATACTTTTCTTCCAGCCAGAAATCTAACTATTTCGGGCTTGAAATGACTGTGGAAATGTTGATTTTTGATCGATTTTCCCGAATTTTAAGCTATTTCCAGCTGATTTTGGAACAAGTTTCTAAGTCGATTTGCCCCCATTTTCAACCATTAATGCTTAAAATGACTGAAAAATCGGAATTTTTCGAGCTAAAAATAGGGAGGGGAAACTGGTAGTTTTGACCTACAATGAACTAAAATGACGCCGAAACGACCCAAAACCTAGAAAAAACGACGAAAATCGCGAAAAAACGAGGTTTTCAAAAAATTGCGCGGATGGCCTAGTGGGTTTTTGGACACGCAAATTTACGAATCTCAACACCAGGGTTCGATTCCACTCGACGCCAAACTTTTTTTGCTTTTGTGCTGAGCATGTTTCAGTGCTTCTAGACGCTTCTAAATGCTTTGTTTTCAGATTTTTCCGAAATTCTGAAATTCTGAAATCCCAAAAAACACTGAAAATCAATAAATTCGAATTTCGCGCGCTTTTTCTCCGTGCTCAGCACAAAAGCAAAAAAAGTTTGGCGTCGAGTGGAAGCGAACCCTGGTGTTGAGATTCGTAAATTTGCGTGTCCGAAAACCCACTAGGCCATCCGTGCAGTTTTTTCGCGATTTTTTTTCTAGGTTTTCTCGGTTTTCCGGTAGTTTTGGCGTCAAAAAAAGTCCCAAAAATTGAGTTTTGGACCATTTTCAGCCTATCTTTGCCTAATTACTGGATCCCACTTCGCAATTTCGATGCGATTTTGGCTTTTTTTTTTAATTTTTCACTAATTCTATGTACAATCGTACCCATAAACTCATCCTCCAGTGCCGAAACAAATGCTCCACATGCTCCATGCGGGATGATACTCTCCTCTTCCTCCTCTTCATTCTTCTTCTCCTCCTCTCCAGGCGCCACCGCGTTCAGCTCCTTTCCTCTGGACCATCCGCCACGTGTCTCTGCTGGTTTAGGCGCTTTTTTGGCGAATTTCCATCTCCGATCCTTATTGGCAGATGCCTTTTTGGATAGTGCAAAAAGGGATTGCTCCACTTTCACCACTTGCTTGTTCGCCGCCGTCCTCATCATTTTCTTGTCCAGTGTTTGATAGATAAGGTCTTCAGATACCATTTGGAAGTCTCCAAGGGTCTGTGCAGCTTCTACTCTCACTGCTATTTCTATATCATTCATGGCATCACAGATTGCCGAGAAGGCGTCGTCGGAGATTGTAGTTTGTGCATCTCCTACTCCTGATTCACCTTTCTTCTTCAAAATCATCTCGTGACCCATATTATTGGCAAAACCAATCAATAATCGAATAGCAGCGATCCTCACATCGGAATCCGTGTCTTTCAAAAACTCCTTGGCCACAAAATACACCTTTTTGGACAATTTCCAAACTGACGATAGCTCTAGGAACCCCTCGGCAACAGCTCTGCGAACCCTAAAATCCCGGTCCAGGTTCAAAATCGCTAGAATCGACTCGCAATCGCTCATTTGGTCGGCCCAGTCTTGGTTCAGAGGGGTGGCTGTGGCCATTGCCACGTGGAATTCGACGGCGGTGATGCGGCGAGCCGTCGAGGACAGGGAGGTGGCGCCCATTGAGCGGCGAGCGATTAGTTTGATTCTGAAAATTTGGAATTTTTGAATCCTATTCCCAATTTAGGTCATTTTTGGATCAATTTCAGCCATTTAGACCCATTTTAGACCAATTTAAGTCATTTTTACGCAATTGTAAATAATTTTAAGGCAATTTTAGGACATTTTAACCCATTTACAGCCATTTGACCCACCTTAAGCCATTTTTGACCTATTTTTAGGCAATTTTAGGTCATTTTTTGACTGTTCAGAGCCATTTTGGTGCAATTTTACGCCATTTTAGACCAAGTTAGGTCATTCTTTGGCAATTTCAGGTCATTTTTAGACCAATTTAGGTCATTTTTGGATCAATTTTATCCAATTTAAGCAAATTAAGAACCATTTTAGACCTATTTTAAGTCATTTTTGACCCATTTTAAGCCACTTTAACCAATTTAGAGCCACTTTGGACTTATTTAGAGTCATTTTTGAACCATTTTATGTCATTTTTAGACCAGTTTAGACCCATTCTTAGACCAATTTAGGTCATTTTTGGACGATTTTCGGCCAATATCTGACCAGTTTAGGCCAATTTTAGATCAATTTTAACCATTTTAGACCCATTTAGAGCCATTTTTACCCATTTAAAGTCATTTTTGACCCACTTTTAACCAATTGTGGATCCTTTTATGCCGATTTCGGACAACTTTAGACTTTTCCAGACGACTTTTTTTCAAATTTTTGGAAAAATGGTTGGAAAATCAGAAAGGCCCCTCTAATAGAAGGGCTGACCCTTTTAATACAGGTTTGAAAGTAAAACTCACTTCTCTGGAACCTCATCCGCTGTAATCACTTGCTCTCTGAGGCATGACACGTAGATTCCGAGAATTCCACGATCCAGATTCGGTCTTCTGAAGAAGGCGTCAACGATGGTGATGTCTTCATCGTCGATTTCCAGATTTCTTGCTCTTTTCTTGAATCTCCAAACCTCCCTGGTTGCTCGAGCAAGACCATCTTGATAATTCTTCAGGGAGAGCATGATTTTCCGTTTTCTCCGAAGCCTTCCACGGGTGAATATAGCTGCTAGGCAGTCGAAAATTATAGTGGAAATTGAGTCGAGCTGAAAAAATTCAAAAAATTGTTTTTTGAAAAAATTTTTTTCGGATCAAAACATATTAAAACCTACTTTTGCCGTTAAACAAGCCCTGAGAAGTTTCTCACAACTCTTCTCGAATTCCGCATCACCGATAACCCGTACATGCTCTGTGTTTAGCTCTCGAACCAAGGAATTCACCCTAGAAAAAAGTTTTAGCCTATTTTTTCATTTTTTTGTATAATTTACAGCTGTCCATCACTATTTGCAACTCTTCCTACTATTTCATCCAACACTTCTTGTAATTTTCGCAATTTGAATTTCCTCTCTCTTTTCCTGTTTCTTTTCACTGGCGGTAAAAGCTGATCAATCCCACCGGCTAGTTCTCGTTTGCGCGGTCCTTTTCCAGACATTTTCGGCTTAATTTTTTCCAGGAATTCCAGTCTAAATTGGTTATTTTTCAGCTTTTTCCGGCGATGCTTGCGGTTTTTTTTTTCGAAAATTCTTGGCTGCGATGCAAACGCGCTCCGCTGGATTTCGATTACGCTGCGTACTTGGACGCGTGTTAAACGTACGATCCTCAGTCAACAAGATTTACGCAGCGGACAGCCCGCTTCGAGCAGCTGGAAATGCTCAAAATTTATCGATTTTTCGACTTCTAAGCTGATTTTTCAGTAAAATAATCGTTTTCAGAGCTATTTTTCATTATTATAAGATGCTTTCATCAAAAAATTTCATGCCAGACTCTCGAAAAATTCGTTTTTATGGTTCCGCTATTTTTACACTTTGGCAGGTGTTTTTGTTGATAAATCCGTATATTTCAAATTCCAGTATGCTTTTTTTTTGGCTGAAAAACTGTCCCAAAAATTCAAAAAGTCGATTTTTCAGACTAAAATCATCGAGAAAACTTGAAAAAAATTTTTGTTTTGCCTTTTTTAGTCTGAAATTTGGAAATTTAGGTCTGAAAAAGAATAAAAAAATCGGGTTTTAGGTTGCAAATATCCAGAAAATCGTCTTTAAATCCTTAAAACTTGGCTTTGGAATTTTTAAACTTCTCCTTGCAAAATTGTTTTTATTTGGTACCCTCCGAATTATTTGTCTTTTTTTTCGCTGGATTTTAATTTATTGAGTCACACCTTCAACGCGATTCTCGCTTTCTTAGCCGTTCAAACTCTACCTTTCCAGCTCTACTACCTTTTTTTTCCACCCAGTTCCGTTTTATTCCATTCAAGATTTTTAGGTATGTTGGCCCGTCAAATGATGCTGCCACGATTGGCTCTCCGCGCCATCCACACCACCACCCGCGTCGCCGGAGGACAAGAATTCTATTGGGGACCAGCCAAGGCCGCCGGACGTGAGCTCGTCGGATACGGAGCCAACGGAGACAACGTAAGAATCAGTTCATGAAAAATTAATCAAGAAAATTCGGAATTTCAGATCTACCAAGATCGTCTCGATTACTGGTATCCAGCTATCAGATTCCGCAAGGAAGACGGCGTCATTACTCCAATCCGCGCAAAGGAACAGGCTGACTGGAAGAACTTGTCTGCTGAGGAGAAGAAGCTTTGTGAGTTGTTTTTCTTTCGAAATAGAGAATAGCAAAAATTTCAACCAAAAATTTTTTAGTGTACCGCTACAGCTTCCGCCAAACACTCTCCGAGTTCGAGGCTCCAACTGGATACTGGAAGGTCATCGGTGCCGTTATCCTCTCAGTCCTTGGATTGTGCACATACTACGCTGTCCTTCTTAACGTCTACGTCTATCCAGAGCTTCCACCAACCTTCCAGAACGAGTACAAGGAAGCCCAAGTCGAGCGTGCTTTGGTGCTCGAGAAGGGACAATTCCTCGGAGCCCCAACCAAATACGATTACGAGAACCAGAAATGGAAGTAAATGTCGATTCAGAAACAATAAAAATTGTAGTTTCTTCGTAATCTCGTTTGTATAGCACCACCCTTGGTTGTCTTCTCTTCGTCTCGTCAAAAAACATTCAAGCTCTCCTATTTTTTCTTCACCGCCCCCGACACACCCCTAATCTGATACAATAGATAAGCTGTAAATCTCTCCTAGCGGTCGAACGCACTGACCAATTCTTTCGTCATTTTGTTTCTTTCCCTTCTAAGTGCTTCGGCTTCTTGAGAGATGGGCTGCCCTAAAACAGAAATAAAATAGATTGAATGTATTGTTAATTCAGCTGTATCCTTTTCCCTTGAGTAGGCAATAGTTTATTTATTTGACAAATCACCACAAGCATTTTTATACAACCGATTATAGTTACAAAAGTGAAATTTTGGTTTGACACTCGGTGATAGAGGGTAAAAGACTAGCGAATGGTTCGGATGGGGCTTCCGCTTTAAATTGTGACATTTTCAGGATCTTCGACATCAGGTGATCCCCCTTTTCCCCTCCTTTTTCAGACGTATCCGATTCGTTTCCATCGATTTCTACAAGTTTTTCCTGAGGAGGCTGGGCCGCTGTAGACGAAGATGACGCACTTTTGGAGAGAGTTGCCGGAGACACATTCTTTCCAACTCTCTTAATTTTCCCGAATAATGCACCCATGGCAGCCATTGACTTTCGATGCACCGACATTTGAGGGATCTAAGAAGCGAGATTATATATTTTCCAGTTCAAAGAGACTCACCGCTATCTTAGAAACCTGCATGACTGCTCCTTCCGCTCCTGTGAGCATATTCCTTCCAACTTGAATTTGCTCAGCAACCGATGCAATGTACTCATTGGCTTCATCCACTGACTTCAACCGGATCGCCGCATTATTGAACAACCTAACCGTGGAAGGTCTCCAAATAAACACGCCTTCAAGGGTTTCAACTCTCGCACACTGTCGATTGTGGCTTCCAGAAGGTCCCACTTGAACCGTATCGATATCGTTTAACGCAACAATTTGCACATCGGTCATCTTCTCTCCATCAATCTCATATGTCACTATGTACAAGTTGGATCTAGTGAGAATGACTACTGTATCAATCTCATCACTACTTTGACAAGCGTTAATCAATCCCCATCCAGCGATCACAGTTTGTTGCGTTGGCACCAGGAATTGAATTGTTTCTGTGACCATTCTACTGATATTCTCCTCCTCTTCCTTCTCACTCTCCTCCTCTGCTGATTCTCCTACTTCAGATTGGCCTGTTACAATATTAATAGCCTTTTGCCTCTGTGCATCTCTCGTATGGGTCAGGTAGTATCTCGATGCACTGTTATATCCATCCTTCATCACTCCCATCAGCTTCCTCTCCCCATTTCTTGTCACATCCCCTTTCAGTGCAGCAGTTCCAGCGTATTGAGTAGATATCACATCCCCATTATCAGCCCACATCGTCTGAAGAGTCTGTACAAGGACTTCAGGGGGTTCACAAAGGGGGCCGAAGATTCCAAGACGTTGCGCTTGCTGTAGAACAATCGCCAATGATATCTGCCCCTGTACCAGATTCGTGCGGTCCAGACAGTCAATACAATTGGTTCTAACAACTCCTTTTTGCCTCTGAACCACTTCTCCCGTCTTGTCAACCCAGCAGAATCCAATCGTCTTCAGAGTGTCCTCCATAGAAGAAAGGAGAGTTTGAAGCTTCTGGAAATTCAACCCTCGACAGTGTTGATGTAAATCAAACGAGAAGAAAGTGACATCCGGATCGTTAGCCTTCACACAATGCTCCAAAAATCTTGTCGCTAGGGCAAGCTCTCTGCCACGTTGATCCACAAGACTAACCGCCACCAGCGGAGTGTCGTAGTGAGCTTTGAGTCGGCGGAAATGCTCCTGGAATACTTCTTGGGTGTCTTCCAGTGACCTATTTATGATTAGAGGCGGGCGGTACTTGAATCCACGTTGCGACCAGAACACTGGGATTGATCCTCTACATTGGACGAAGCTGAGCTCATGTTCGAAGATGTTAAGGACCAGTTCAGTCTCCACGAAGTTGGCCACATTTGAGGAGTCGTCAATTCCACGTCGCAGATAACGAGCGCCAGCTCGCAACGTGGATCTTCTGGAGATTATTGTGATGGTCAGGAAGGCGTTGATCTGGAAAAAAATGTTCTATTTTAGTACTATTTTGGATCTTTTTGGTCATTTTTAGACCAATTTAGGCCATTTTTTGACAAATTTAGAACTTTTTCGGACAATTTTAGGCACTTTAAGACTTATTTTTATCTACTTTGGATCATTTTTAGACCATTTTAGACCCTCGTGGATCAATTTTGAACCATTTTTGACTATTTTCAGAACTTTTTGGATCATTTTCAGATTACTCAGGATCCTTTAGGACCATTTTCGGACAATTTTGAACCATTTTTTATCATTTTTGGGTAATTTTAGATCATTTTTAGACTATTTTGGATTAATTTCAGATCATTTAGGGTCATTTTGGATCAATTTGGGACCATTTTAGATTATTTCAGACCATTTTGGACAATTTAGGACCATCTCGGACTAATTTTTGGATTTTTTTGAGCCTTTTCGGTGATTTTTAAGCCTGTTTTGATCATTTTGGACTAGTTCTGGATATTATTGAGCCATTTTTGGACAATTTTTGGGCAATTTGAGGCCATTTTGGACCATTTCCAGGCAATTTTAGACAGTTTTAGCCCATTTTTGGTTCATTATTTATCATTTTAGGCCCTTTTTGTTAATTTTAGATCATTTCTAGATGAAAATGGCTTGAAAATCCCCTACCTGATCAGTGATTTCTAGCTGACTAGTCGCCACGTATCCCTGCATGACTGGACATGAGAATTTCGACACCTGGGCAGGTGAAAACCCGCTCAACATCCGTTTATTCCAAAAAAACGAGTCTTCCGAGCTCCTTTCACTTTTCCCAAAGAATTTCTGCGACGAAATCGTTACATCCCGCTCGCGACAGAAATAAAAGTCTTTGGAGTCGTTGAACAGCTTCAGAACGTCTTCTAGAAGTGCCGGACGGGCTTCTTTGTTGGCTGAGAAGAATTTCATTAATTTTTCAGTGCCTTGCTTGAGTTTCGTCCCGGAACCGGGGGAAATTTGTGATTTTATCGTTGTGCTATCCGATTTTATGTTAATTCCAATCACTCGCTCAATTCTTCGAATCTCGTGCTTTTCCTAAATATTCATAAATTAAATTTTTGAAAAAAAAAATATTTTCAAATAAAAACTCACTGTCGCAGAAACTCCTCGATAATTCGCGGCTACCGAGCTCTCGACAACAAAAAACAGATAATTCTGGTCCGGCTCAAAAGTGATTTTCCCGACTAAAAATTCCACTTCTCCACACAAATTTACGCTTTCTTCATTTAAAACTGCCAAGGAATCCGAATTTTTCAGAATTTCCCCATTTTTCCTATCGAAATGCACTCGTTTTCCTCGTTCCTCAAGTATCAAAGCATTTGGTGTAGTGTAAACTAGCATCTGAAACATTTTTTTTATTTTGAAAAAAAATTCAACTAACTTTTGTCTGCTTGTTTTCGCTAATTTCTGTCTAGTTTGCATGCAATTTAGGTCTCTCTATATCCGAAAATCAATAGTTTAGCATTTGGAATCGACGAGAGCGCCTTTTGTTTGTACAAATCGCTTCTGTTTTGTGAGTCATTCGTGAAAAAATAAACTTTTGCGAGGCGAATGCAAACGCGCTTCACTGGACTTCAAAGGCGCATGGATTTTTCCGGGTTGGGTCTCGCAGCGACAACGAAAATTGTGTGAATTTCTCGACTTTATCCTAAAATTTTCCGGGTTTCCTGCACTTTTTTTTGCGAATTTGTGCGATTTTTAATGCGAAATTTGTTGAATTTGTTCTGAAAATCGTTTGACTTCGCAATTTTCATCCAAAATTCACTCCGAAGTAGAAAATTGTGTAAATATCTCCACTTTATTCTAGAATTTTTCAAGTTTTCTGCATTTTTTTTCGCAATTTTTGCCTACAATCCTTGTGTCTAAACTAAGTTTTATCAGGTAATCCAGTCACGATGGCTCCAAAGAACGAGAAGAAGTCCCGCAGCACCATCAACGAGGTTGTTACTCGAGAGTACACCATCCACATCCATCGCCGCCTGAAGGGAATGTGAGTTTCAGTCACTTTTCTAGTCCCCTATAATTTCTCTCTATGCTAACACAAGCTCCACCTGGAAGCGGTGTGTTGGCCCACGCTAGTCACTGCAGCTCATCTGGGAGCAGGTTCTAGCCCGAACCGCAGTGACTGGACTAACGGAGCTATTGCCTCGTCTTCTGGTGAGTGGCTCTCTCCAGAAGCGCCGCACTTTTCTCATTCGAGAATTGGGTGGAGAACTCAGGGGCATCCTCAAAATTCGTTTGAAAAAAATCTTGTGCGAATTCCCGAGGTACCATTCTAGGTAATCTTGACTGAGTTTCATAATCAATTTTCAGCGGAGCCAAGAAGCGCGCCCCACGTGCCATCGATGAGATCAAGAAGTTCGCCAAGATCCAAATGAAGACCGAGGATGTCCGTGTCGACACCAAGCTCAACAAGTTCATCTGGTCCAAGGGAATCAAGAACGTTCCATTCAGAGTTCGTGTCCGTCTTTCCCGCCGCCGTAACGAGGATGAGGACTCCGCCCACAAGCTCTACACCCTCTGCACCTACGTTCCATGCACCCAATTCAAGGGACTTACCAACGTCAACGTTGACAGCGAGGAATAAGTGTTGTTTCAATAAAATTGTTGTTATCTAAAACTGTGTTCTGTTCTGTATTCAACAAAAAATTAGGTGATGATCATTTACAACATTTTATTATGATCAAAAAGCAAATTCACGTTTACAAAGCAGTTTTCCTTCGAGACATTGCTTGATATCCTCGTAGCTTCCGTTTCTCCATTCGAAGTTCGGTTCTCTGTGCAAATCGTCGAAAGTTTACCGATGCCTGAAATGTCTCTCAAAATTCTTCTGAATCTTCTGCTGATCATTGGTGTCTCAATTCTATTCCTTGTGCAGTGTGGTGGCAAGAAGAAGAGAAAATCCACGGCGTCAGTTAAAAGTGAAAAAAGTGAGGAGGAGTCTGATGATGAGTCTGGAGCTGAGAGGAAAAAGAAGTCGAAGAAGCCAAAGAAAGATAAGGATGCGCCAGAGAGCCAAAATCCAAACGCACCAAAACCACCAAAGAATATGGCTCAGATTGCGGCGACTCAAGATCCAAACTATCAGACATTGGCTGGTCTGAATAACGACGCCGTTTTTGGAGGAGGTGGTGCGGGAGGTGCAGGAGGAGGTGCCGGTCCAAAAGCTCCCCCAGCTGGCACGAAACCTGGAATGGCTGGAACTCAGGATCCTAATTACCAAACATTGGCTGGTTTGAATAATGATGCAGTTTTCGGAGGTGGTGGTGGTGCTGGAGGGGCTCCCAAGGCTCCAGCTGTCGGTGGAAAAGCAGCCACCAACGATCCAAATTATCAGGTAAACGCTTTTTAGACTACAAACTACATTTTTAAAGGGACACGAATTCGAGAAATTTTCGTCATAATTTCTTTTCAAAGGTACACATTGGAAATGGTTGACCTAATTAAAATTCGCGTCGTTTTGCGGCCACGTGGCGCCACGTATTTCGTGTCGAGACCCTCTAGATAAATTGCATGCGCCTTTAATCAGGTCAGCTACGTGGCAAAAGCTCAATGAACCTAAAAGGCCAACAGCCTTTCAAAAGTAGAGAAAAAAAAAGAAAATTCTAAAAAATTGTAGTTTGCGAAAAATGATTTCAGACTCTCGCCGGACTGAACAACGACGAAATTTTCAAACCTGGTGGCGCTGGTGGAGGAGCCGGACCAAAAGCTCCAGTTGCTCCGGGAGGAAAAGCCGCCACAAATGACCCGAATTATCAGACACTGGCCGGTCTGAATAACGCCGACATTTTCAAGGATAAGGCTGGAGGAGGAGGAGGGGGCGGAGCCGCCGGACCAAAAGCCCCAGCACAAATTGGAGCAAAAGCGGCGACCCATGATCCCAACTACCAGACACTGGCCGGTCTCAATCAGGATATCTTTGGTGCTGATAAGAAGAAGTTTTAGGATTTTTAAAATAAAATCCTGATGGATAAAACTGTATTTCTCGATGAAAATAAATTATTTTTTGAATAAATGTGTTTTTAAAAAGTTTAACTGTTGTAGAATTAGGGGTCAAAATTTGTGACAAAACTCATCTCCTTTTTCATAGAGAAAGACATCAAAAACCAGTCGAAACCTTTTTTTCCAGCTCGAATTCGAGCATTTGGCCAGAAACTGGAACCACCTCGTTCCTCCCTTTCAAAAATATCAGGCCTCTTTTTTGGAATGTTTTGGATTTTTTCACATTAAAAAATCTAGTTTTTTATCAAAATTTTGAATTCTGCTTGAAATATGACCGAAATTCCCCTTTTCCCGATGAAAAATTGCCCCAAATAACCCAATATCACACCTTCCTCCTTTTCCTCTACCCCTAAAAGTAGGCGGAGCCTGCGGCACACACAAAACATAGCGGGCGGTGGAACCCGGGAGATGTCGGTACACGGGGGAAGGTATAGGCGCGCCGCTCGCCTCTCTCGCCGGTTTTAACCAAGGTTATTTCGACCTTTCGAAAGAGAGTGTTGGATGGGGGGATCCTCTAGAGTCGACCTGCAAGCATGCAAGCTTGGCACTGGCCGTCGTTTTACAACGTCGTGACTGGGAAAACCCTGGCGTTACCCAACTTAATCGCCTTGCAGCACATCCCCCTTTCGCCAGCTGGCGTAATAGCGAAGAGGCCCGCACCGATCGCCCTTCCCAACAGTTGCGCAGCCTGAATGGCGAATGGCGCCTGATGCGGTATTTTCTCCTTACGCATCTGTGCGGTATTTCAC